TCTTATTTTTATTCAATAAATAACTTTTTATACCATACATAATTATGCATTTATTTTATTTCAGGTACTTGCAATTATGGTAAAATGAGACCCAATCGTTTGACCATATTAATTGTGCATATTTTCTTTTGCACCACATATCAACGTTTTAGGATGTTTTACGAGGTCCATACTTGTTTTTTATAATTGCAGGTGCTTTTAAAAATACCTTAGAAAACTTTCAGGGCGATGCGTATAGAACGGTGAGTATAAATACACGTGTATATCTATATATACACGTGTATACCATCCTGTACTTGGCGTAGTTTTTTACACGTAAGTGTTTTTTGGGGGGTATATATACACGCCTCTATATCTATATATACTGGGGTATATCTATACAGGGTGTCCCAAAATTACCTGACCAACGGGGTATGGCGGTGTTCGGGAGGCACCACTGATCACGAAAATGACCTTCCTTTTCTCCGGAAAGTCATAAGTCCGTATTCAGAACTCGCTCTTAACCCTTTCCGGCATACATTTTTCTATTGGCTATTCTGGCTTGAAATTTCTTACTCCGGGGTTTTTGGGGTCGCTGAGTACGAATCTGCTAACGAAATTTTGATTTTTTCAAATCCAAGATGGCGGATTCAAGATGGCGCATAAAAATCCTAAGAATAACATTTTTGGCTAGAAATGAGTACTCGGGGATTTTTGGGGTCGCTGAGTACGAATCTGCTAACGAAATTTTGATTTTTTCAAATCCAAGATGGCGGATTCAAGATGGCGCATAAAAATCCTAAGAATAACATTTTTGGCTAGAAATGAGTACTCGGGGATTTTTGGGGTCGCTGAGTACGAATCTGCTAACGAAATTTTGATTTTTTCAAATCCAAGATGGCGGATTCAAGATGGCGCATAAAAATCCTAAGAATAACATTTTTGGCTAGAAATGAGTACTCGGGGATTTTTGGGGTCGCTGAGTTCGAATCTACTATCAAACATTTGATTTTATTGAATCCAAGATGGCGGATTCAAGATGGCGCATAAAAATCCTAAGAATAACATTTTTGGCTAGAAATGAGTACTCGGGGATTTTTGGGGTCGCTGAGTTCGAATCTACTATCAAACATTTGATTTTATTGAATCCAAGATGGCGGATTCAAGATGGCGCATAAAAATCCTAAAAATAACACATTTTTGGATAGAAATGAATACTCGGGGGCTTTTTAGAGTCACTGAAATAGAATCTGCTATCATACATCATATTTTTTATTTTTGTAAAAAAATGGCCCTCTTTGCCGAACCCGGAGACACGAACGAGGACGTGGCGGTTATAGTCTCCATTGTTTTTTTAAATTTAAAAAAATGTTTTTTTATTTTTTAAATTTTTTAAATATTTTTTTGTTGTTTTATTTATTATTTTTTATGCGTGATATTTGGAAAAACAGTTTCTTTGTGGCTGTAAACATAAAGTAACGTTACATGTACTGCACATCCATTGACTTTTTCTTTCATTCTGTTTCGTACTGCAAAGTACACATCGTTTTTTCTTTTCAACATATGCTGGCATGTGAGCTGCTTGAGAACGTCTCTTTTCAATAGACACTTGGACTTACCTAAAATAAATCCAAAACGATTTACAGTCATCAATGAACTTATAAATGAGTCGTGTAATTTTGGATCTGACGACCAATAATCTCGATATGAAGGAAACTTTTTTATCCCCATCAAAATATTAATCCCTAAAAAAATTTTCAGTTCATCTTTGGTTATAAGTGTATAATTCTTATTCTTTTGCCGAATAAAAATGTTTGTTTGTTCCACTATTAGATCCAAAAGGTCTTCAGGAAAGAGACTTAAAAATATATCTATTGGAGATCGTACATTATCTGGGATATGGGGACCAAAATCAGCAGTAAAAGGACAGTCTGATCATTTTAGTAAATTTTTTGTCCATTCTTCATTATCAGTCTCGGCTTCATCTTCACTTATATCTTCATCATCATCTTCACTTATATTTTCCGCTTCTACACCCTCCTCATCCTCTTCATCACTTGA